ACTTGAGGTAACACAGCTGGGCTTTCATAATCCAGTCAGTCAGTCTTGGGCTAAGGGCTTTCAAGGAGCTGCTAAAAAAGAAAACAGACCCAGATCTGAGCTCTATCGCTTACTAAAGCTGTTACTACAAGGAAATTTTACTTAATCTCTTAGTTTCCCCATCTCTGATCATTATAGGCTAATTAGGCTCAAAGGAGGGAATAAATGTAAATGTTTGTCCATTTCCACAGAGTAAGTACTCAGCTGTTATTCTGAGCCCCAGTTTCCTATCTCTGAGATATTAGCCATAATAATTAAAGCATACAGATGAATAATATTATACATAGTAAGGTAAGTTTTATTATTTCTTTCAGTTCTGATATATGATGAAATCACAGCCTTGCCTACAATTCATAATGTCTAAACAGTGCTCTTGGGAGATAATGAGAGGCATTTTGTGAGACCAGGGGGGAACGTAAATTGGTCCTAGGGGTGCAGTTCTTGGTCCCCTTACCCTAAATGTAGCAGAGATTCAGACAAAGGCCTTTATAATTCCAGACCAGCCTGGGGTGTTTATTTTCTATGAATAAAAATAATGATGCATGATTTTTCTCTAAAAACCTACCAAATCCTGGTCTTGGAATTCATCATGAGCCACAGAGAGCAGAAGCTTAACATAAAAAAGTTTACAGAATGTGTTCTCATTTCATCCCTGTATCTACTTTGCAATTTAAGGAGAATAACTGCTTCTGGAAACATATTTGGGTGGAAGGCCATTTAGGGAAAACAATAGCAGTGATGAGGCTTGTGTTGAACAGTCAGGATTTGGGATAAGGCTGACCCTGTGTCTTATGTGACTAGCAGCTATGGAAACAGGCATAGAAAATAGAAATAGCCCATGACTAGAAGCATATCCAGTGCCACTGGGTCTGCATCAAAAGGACCTATAAACTGTCTGAAAACACAAGTGCTAATGAGAACTTTTAACACCTTAATAAAGGTCACCAACCTTTAATCATCTCTGAGTCCTGTGGCAGAAAGTCAAACCTAAAAAAAACGATTGTTCCCTTACTTGTAATGGGTACAGCTTTGGGAATTTGATGCTGTATGTTATGTAAGTTTGACCTTAGGACAGACCAGTTACAACGACAAAGAGGAAGTGTGCAAAACAATTTAAATAGCTTTCATCTCTTCCTAGAGCTGAGTCAGGAGGCCCAACATGATTGTGCAAAGAAGATGGTTATCCTTAAAGTCTTGTGGAATAAGTGAGTTTCACCTTCATTCCATGGGGTGTTAAGTCCAAGGGCATCACTTACTTGACAGAATTTAGTATGGCAGGGTAGACTAGATGTTTTCATAAATAGCACCTGAATTAGGTATGAGTAGAGCAGAGGGTATATTGCATATCTAGGAGCAATGAGTTCACTGGTGTGGCTGAAATAAAGGTGGGACAATAAGTATTTTTAAATGTAAAGAGATGGGGTTAGAAAAGATTGCAAATGATGCCAGACTAAGATTTCATGCTTAATCTTACTGGGGAGCCTCCAAAGACTTTGAGGATGTGAACTGGAATGAAGGAAGGAGATTAATCTGTCTCTGGCACATGAATTTTTTTTACTGTGTTATGTTAGTCACCATAGAATACATCATTAGTTTTTGATGCAGTGTTCCAAGATTCATTGTTTATGTATAACACCCAGTGCTCCATGCAATATATGCCTTCCTTAATACCCACCACCAGGATGACTCAACCCCCCAGCCCCCCTCCCCTCTAAAACCCTCAGTTTGTTTCTCGGGGTCCACAGTCTCTCATGGTTTGTCTCCCCCTCTGACTCTCCCCAGTTCACTTTTCTTTTCCTTCTAATGTCCTCCATGTCATTCCTTATGATCCACAAGTAAGTGAAACCATATGATCATTGACTTTCTCTGCTTGACTTATTTCACTTAGCATAATCTCCTGAAGTCCCATCCATGTTGATGCAAAAGTTGAATATTCATCCTTTCTGATGCCTGAATAATATTCCATTGTATATATGGACCACATCTTTTTTATCCATTTGTCTCTTGTAGGGCATCTCGACTCTTTCCACAGTTTGGCTATTGTGGACATTGCTGCTGTGAACATTGGGGAACAATATGGCCCTTCTTTTCACTACATCTGTGTCTTTGGGATAAATGCCCAGTAGTGCAATTGCTGGGCCATAGGGTACTTTTATTTTTAATTTTTTGAGGAATCTCTGCACTGTTTTCCAAAGTGGCTGCACCAACTTGCATTCCCACCAACAGTGTAAGAGGGTTCCCCTTTATCTACAGCCTCTCCAACATTTGTTGTTCCTGCCTTGTTAATCTTTGCCATTCTAACTGGTGTAAGGTGATCTCTCTCTCTCTCTCTCTCTTTTTTTTTTTTTCATTTCATTTTATTTTCTTTCTTTTCAGTGTTCCAAAATTCTTTGTTTATGCACCACACCCAGTGCTCCAAGTTATACGTAAGGTGGTATCTCAATGTGGTTTTGATTTGAATTTCCCTAATGGAAAATTACGATGAACACTTTTTCATGTGTCTGCTAACTATTTGTATGTCTTCGTTGGAGAAGTGTCTGTTCATGTCCTCTGCCCATTTTTTGACATGATTATCTGTTTTTTGGTTGTTGGGTTTGAGAAGTTCTTTATAGATCTTGTATATCAGCCCTTTGTAGTATCATTTGTAGACATCTTTTCCCAATCTGTGGGTTGCCTCTTAGTTTTGTTGACTGCTTCCTTTGCTGTGCAGAAGCTTTTTATCTTGATGAAGTCCCAAAAGTTCATTTGAAATGAAGAGGAGGCTGAGGATAAGAAGACTGGTCAGGAAACAGTTTTGATGAATGTGGCTGAAAGTGCCTTGTTGGGTAGAAGGGAAAATGGAGAGACATAGTATATTGAATGGAGCTGGGGAGGGGTTTGTCTGGGTGCTTCTGCCCAGGTGAGAGATAATAGGAACAGTTGAGACCAGCTCCTTGCCTCTGTGGAGGAGCCTGCACCAGACACAAGTGGCCACCTATGGGAAGCAGACAGCTCTGCAGAGTCAGTCCCTTAAGTAGTAGGACAGAATTTTATGTCATGATTAGTAGACACAACCCTGGAGAGGCTCCAGGCTCTGCTAACACCTTCAAAGAGATAAGTACTCCCAGCCAAAACCACACCATCCTAATGGTTTCTGGAGAAGCCAGAAATGTAAAAATCTTCTCATTTTGCCATAGCACCATAGTCTCTACTTCTAGAAAGATCCAGTTTCCCACATACCACTTCCTGTGCTTCCCTATTTCTGGGGGAGAAACTTATTTACATTTGACCACTTCCATAACCCACCTCTCTGAGGTACAGCAACAGCCGGAATGTCTCCAGGACTCAGAGAATTCATACTACTGACAACAGGCAAATTAGTTTATATTCATTTTAGGTTTCTATGATCAATGATAGTGTATAAAGAATTTTTAATGTCAAAAGTAATGTGTGGGAAAAGTAAATCAATTTGAAGGAAATGTTCATATTTTTCCCATATAACCTTCTCAAAAGTAAGTATGAATTTGTACCCAAAACATCCATTAATGAAATAAAAGCAGTTAATGAGAGGAGAACTAAAGCTCAGCCTAATTCTTGGTTCATGATAAAAGAATTAGCGCTCACTGTTAATCATGATTTAGAGTGGTTGCATAAAATCCAAGAGAAAAGATCTAACTTCTGTTAGACATTTAGGACTAAAGTTCGTGAGAGAATCTGTGGTTGGAATAATGATTTGAAAATTCATCTGCATAGCAGGAATAGTAGAAGTTATGAATGAAGGTTTCCATACTTGCCTGGAACTTGTATGTTAACAAAATAGAATCCTCAAACCCAACTCTTAGGGTAATGGAAGTAGTGGAGCAATTAGATACAGACTGGAAGCTATTAGAAAGGAGGAAGACCCAAGACAATGTGGGGTCTTAGAAGTCAAGGGAGAAAATGAAGCCAAAGTTCTCACTGATTGAGAAAAATAAAAAACTGGAAAGGCCACAGGAAAGCAGGTCAAAGATGTCTCTGCATAATGTTAATCACATCTTTTGGTGGTGGGCACTAGGAACTAATGACTGACATGTTCTAGCTCCAGCAGGCAAGACTTCTGCCATTGCTTGATCCTGAGTTTCCTGGGCCCTCGATCTGAAACCGTAAAATATGTAGTATTTATTTAGTATTAGAACCGTGTTCTGAAGATGCTTTTTCTGGAGCTGTTTTGAGACCACGGAACTGAAAAAGGTTTTGAGATGAAATGCTAGCCTTGTACCCAGGTTGGTCTGTCATTCTTTCCATTTAAAGCCACTGGTAATATGGTTGCAAGATGTATTTTGCCCATTTTTTAAAAGCCATTTTCTACTTTCCAACCACCAAAATATGTTGGGAGTGTCATAATTGTTTTTCTCTTTGGAACTTTAGAAAATATTGTTTTTATAATAGAAATAGCATTTCTTTAATTTTTTTTCTTTTTTTAATCGCCAACGGCTGCCATACCAAACCACGGACTTGGCTCATTTATATTTCCAATTCTAGCTTGTGCTAAAATTTCTGGCAGATGAGTGTTGTAGAACTGCCCAGAGTATTTCTGAGGAGGTTTATCTCAGAGGCTAGTCAGATGAAAGACTGAAAAATTAAAATGGACTTCAATGCATTAATTCAGGTAAAGCATTTAGAATAGGGTTATGCATGTGGGAAGTATATATGAGTGCTGGTTATTATTATTATTAGAGCCTTCATGATGTACATCAGAGGACAAAATGGACTAAGAAAAGCCACATATTCTTATGATAGAATAAGTGCTCCCTAAGAATCCCAAACAAATGATTGTTAGAGTTTAAAAGACTTCTAGAAAGCTGTTCAAAGATGACAGCACCAGGGGGTGATAGGCTAAGTTTGTAAAGGGCTTGGCCAGTTGGCAGTTGGGTATGCTTACCTATAAAACATACCATGAAGTGGGAGGTGAAGGAGGTTAGGACTACTAAAACCTAGTTATAATACTTACCTGGCAGTGGAGACACCATGATCAAGCAGGTGGTTTTCCCAGGGTGAAGCTTGTCCATTGCACTGAGGATGTGCAGACCCCTGCAATATCTCCAAATGTGGGAAACTCAACTGCATAATTTGTGGTAGTGGGGGACTGTGTTCACACTCTCCCCTAGTAAAAAATGTAAAACAAATGATAAAAGAATAAAACCTAATTATAGAATCCACATCCTTTGAAAGTGGTTCGATTGTAATTGAAATATAGAGGTACTTGGAATTAGCATAGAAAGAAAATGTTGAGACCTGAAAAGAGCATGATGTTCAAGGATTTAGAAGTTGTAAAAAATGTGAAGAGAGTTGTATAAGTGAGCTTCCATTTAGGGTTCTTTCTGTGTCCCTTTATATAATTTTTTTCACAGCCTCCACATTTTCTTGAAGTAGGTCAATGTGATTGGAACATTTATGTATAAATGATATGGTTTCCAAAGATTGTCAGTATCTGGGCACCTGTTTTTACAAGAATTTGCTCTGAGAAGTGTGAAAATCACTTTCATAGTAGTTTTTGTGTCAATCATGAACTTACTTCATTTAGATCATTGCAAAAGGTAGAAAGAATGTATCACAGAATGTCAGATAATGGGAAGGCAGGGGGTGCCCTCCCAGACTTTACAAGCTAACCATGTCCAATCTAACCAGTGAAATAATATGTCGAAGAGTCTTGGAAGAGAGTTGGGAGTACCGGACAAATGTTGAGTGAAGATGAAGGAAATAGGGGAAGAGTAGATAGGATGTTTTGGAGTTAGGGAACCTCTCTGCAGACTCAGTGTAGAGGAAAACATGACTTAGATTCTTAAAAAAGGGGTGATGAGAAAATAAAAACAGCTTTCAGCAAACCCAGCCCACCCCTCACCTGAAACTCCAGTAGCCTGAAAGAGCCCATTCCCAGGATAGAATCCCACAAAAGAAATAGCTAGTTCTCACAGAGAATGGTGTAGCCCATCCTTTTGAAACAACCTCTAACCCTGTCATCCCCATCAGTCATCCTAATGGATAGTAAAGTTTTAAAATAAAACAAAATAAAGAAAGAGGATTATGGGCACATTTTCAGACCTGCCAAACATATATGCAAGGATATCCAAAGAGCTCTTTGGCAGGACAAAGAAAACAGTGTTTAATGAAGAATATTCATGTCAGCAATTTGGAAGATGAGGTTGCGAAAGTAGGTCAAGACCTAATTATAAAGGACCTTGAGACCTTAGAAATGAAAGCTCAGAGTTTTCTCTTGGCATGGGAAATAAGTAAAAGATTTGTGAGCTAGAGCATAGATAAAATATTAAAAGATATATTTCAGAAAGACAACTCCTCTTGTTGGTAGTGAGTAGGGTGGACTATAGTGGATAGGAAGACTCAAGGCCAGAGAAGGGAATGTAGGCTGATGTTACTGCCATGGGTCTGGATTTTATAGTCCCCTGAGGCTAGAAATAGGAGGTGTATTCTTTTTTTTTTTTTTTTTAAGATTTTATTTATTTATTTGAGAGAGAGAGTGAGAGCATGAGAGGGGAGAAGGTCAGAGGGAGAAGCAGGCTCTCCGCAGAGCTGGGAGCCGGATGTGGGACTTGATCCCGGGACTCCGGGACCATGACCTGAGCCAAAGGCAGTCGCCCAACTGACTGAGCCACCCAGGTGCCCTAGGAGGTGTATTCTTAAACTAAAATCACATAGGTGTTCTTTTATTTTTTTTTCACTTTTTATTACAGAAAGAATTCAGTCACATACATTAGATAAAATAGTACAATGACTTCCCAGTAACTGAAAGTAAACTTCAACAATTATCAGTATTATGCTGATCTTTTTTTATTTATCTCCCCCTAAAGCTGATTTTGCATGTATTTAATTTTAACTTTTTCTTTTGAAATAATTACAGGCTTATAGAAAAATTTCAAAAATAATACCAAAAATTCCCATATACCCTTCAAGCAAATTTCCCAAATGTTAAAATTTTGCCACATTTACTTTAATTTTTTCCTCTCTCCCTTCTCTGCTCTTGGTCTCTCACTCTCGTTTTAGTATATGACAACTCTCCAGTTGTCTCATGTTTGGCCAGTGGGAGCCCCTGTAACCTAGATCCTAGGTCCATCCTGACATTTCTCTAGCATATTTTGAGCACTTGTTCTATCTTGACACAATACAATGTTCCAGGCCCATGTTGCTCTTTCCATGTAACAAGCCTGGAAGCAAATATTTCTTCAAGGACCCTGTTCCTTTCAGTGAAAAATGATATTTAGAAACCAAAATATGAGCATTAGAGGTGTGTGTGTATGTGTGTGTGTATGTTTGTGTTTTTGATTTCTTTTGCTGCTAGGATCTCTCATCAGACATATCTAGAAAAAATTATATATACATTTATATCTGTAAACATATGTGTATCTATTTCTATGTGTAAAATTATGAGTTCATATTGATACCTCCAGTTTCAATCCAATGCCACTGGGCTCATTCCATCCTTACTCCCTTTTGTAATTTTAATTTCCAACAATGAGAAATCTGACTCTTACCCACAGTATAAATAAAATCATTCTTTTTATGAATTACCCCTATGCTTTATAGAATAACCCTGAATTTACACATAGCCTGCTCTTTTTGACCTGCTAGACTTCCTCAGTGGCAAAGAGGAGGGGGAAAATGCCCACAACCAGCAACAATTTGGCGTATACATTCTGCCACACTTCTGAACACAAGGCAAACACAGGGTGAAATGTTTCCAGGGCAGTTAAGGACTAGAAACCTCACATCTGTCCTTGGATAGGAGTTTATTTTCTCAGTCTAAGTCTGGGTTTGACATTCCAGCTGCTCGCCCTTCCACGGCAAATGGATATGGAGAAGGCTGCCACCAGCCGCTGATGGAGAAAACAGCTGCCTTTAGAGGGGATAAGCCACAGAGGCGGTTGGATGTCCTCTCCACTGCCCCCATCTTCTCCCGCTCCTGCAAATACAATATGCGTACTTTCTCACACAAATGAAGGGCAAAGGACTTTTGTTTGTTGCTAGGAAATCCTACTGGGAGTGAGAAAAATCTCTCGTAAGTAAATTATTTAGCCAAAGTTTTCCCTTAGATGGTAACTTGCATAAACATCAGTTTAAGCATGATTATTTTGATTATTTGTGAGTTGTTCCCCATGTGGATTTGTTCAACTTCCTGAAAAGTTGGATGAGTTAGCACATGATCTTGATGAGCTGACCACCACTTTATTCCAATATGCTTGCCTGTAGAGGCCTATTTCCACTCATTACACTGTGCTTATTGAGTATTTTCTATGTGTCAGACACTGTGTTAAAGAGACATAGAGAGTCCATATTCTAGTCACCAGGAACAGAAGTGGTAGGCCCTCTTTCCCCTAGGGGGTAAACCATTTCTCGTGGCCTTAAAACCAGCTGTGTTTTGGATGCTGCTTATCAGTTTTCCCTAATCCTTAATCAGCTACCTGACATTTCCTATGATGCCTCAGGTTCTACCATTAGTTCTTTTGATTCCTTCCTAAAGGCTTTACATTCTTATATAATTTCATATTATAATATAAGTACTTTCTCTAGCAGGATCTTTGTCTTAAATCATTATACAGAGGATATATCAATGGTATTAGATAGCAGTTAACCTGGAGAAAGGTCTCATGAATAGGAACTCATAAAAAAGAAGAAAGGTCAATTAGAAGGTGAGGGCAGAGGATCCTATCTGACACCATTACTAGTTGAATAATTCTCAGTCTACGAAGATCCTGAGTTAACTGAGAACAGTTGATACCTTTTAAAATATTTTATATAACCCAAAATATGTGCTTTGTTTTTGTCACTCCATGAAAAAAAGAAATATAAGGAGTCTAGTCAGCTGCTACAAAATAAAAACAGATCTCAAATTTAGATACAGCTAATCTCCCACACATAATTTAAAAGGGATTGATTTTCTTATATTTTTATACTTACAAAATCTTCTACAATAAAATTACATTGTTCATATTTCATAATAGAATGAGGGGGACACGTAAAATATGGGCCCCTACTGCCATACTGCATGTTGGTTAGGATTCTTGATTGAAGTGACATAAATACAGTGTAGCTAGCTTAAGGGAAATGTGTTAACTCATGAAACTGAAAAAGGTACACAGGTAGCTCTGGTTGGAGACAGTTCTCATAGTTTTCTCAGGTTTCTGCATGTCTTGTAACCAGAAATAAGGGTTGCCTTTAGGGTGGACCTTTTCAAGAACATTTGTATATAGTGAGCAGCTTAGTGTCTCACTCTGGAACAAAGGGAAAGCAGGATTACTGCCCATTATAAAAGATCTGAGTTCCCTTAGCTCAGGGTTTCTTTTGTAATGCAATTCACTGTGTGTATAGGTATCAGGTGGTCCTCGTTACATTACTATGTGAGGACTGGGACTTGAGGAGAGGAATGGGTACAAGGAATGGGTACAATGGATACTCCGGTTCATTATGGGTGTGAGTAGTAAACATTCTTTGTCTCAGAACCAAGAGTTTCATGTCTTCTACTTGGCATCCATTAAACTAGCAGGCCAAGTTTTTAGCTTGCAAGTAAGATAAAACTTCAGACTTCATAGTTCTTATCAACTCAAGGGATCAAAGAAAAGGTTAACTATTGGGACCAGAGTTTTTTATTTATGCCCCTCAGGACCATCCTTCTCTCCATATCTTCTATGGACTGAATGTTTATATCCCCCCAAAGTCCATATGTTGAGACCTAATCCCCAATGTGAGGGTATTTGAAGGAGGGGCCTTTGGGAGGTAATTAGATTATAAGGGCAGAGCCTTCATGAATGGGATTAATGCCTATATAAAAGAGGCCCAAGAGAGTTTTCTCATCACATGGGCTCTGTGAACCAGGAAGCAGGTAGGGTCTCATCAGACACTAAATCTGCTATCACCTTGATCATGCACTTCCCAGCCTCCAAAGCTGTAAGATATAAATTTTGTGAGAAATAATTTTCTTATAAACAAGCCACCTAGTCTATGGTATTCTGTTATAGCAGTCCAAATAGACTAAGGCGATACCTCATCCATTTGTGCCTATTCCTAGCCAACTTCAGTCGGTAGACAGAGAAAAAAGATCGCTTTTGTCAGTCCCAAATATTTGTTTTTTCAGCTCCATAGCCCAAGACTGCTGAC